ATTTTTTAATTATTCTCCCGCTTGTTTCATAACTCGACAGCAGATTGCAGCCTACAGCAAACAGAATTCACTCCACCATCCAAAACATTATAAACCGGATATTGAGTTTTGAATAATGACGTCACATCATATGAAGGCTATATCAACTGACATGTATGTGGCGTTTTGTGAGAATCTCATCGTCTTTATTAATAGTACACATGTATACAATACGTTTATCAACTGTCACTATCAGAGTGATCTGATATAGTCAGAAAGCATTTGATAATGATTGATTTCCGGTAGATATACATTGTGTGTGCCATAATGCTCGTTCTCTGACACGAGATGTTCGAGTTTGAATTTCTTATACAAATATTTCATGAATATCATACCCTGAAGTGACTTGTTAATAATAAAGTGTTATTATTTCGTCAGTTGGGTAATCGTTTATTGTTAATTCAACAAAAATCTAAAAAAGGATATAAGTTCTATGAAATAAATTAAAACTTATTGAAGGTGGTTAGCCACCAAATATCAATGTTTTACCTATTCAATTCGACAAATAAAAACGATTTAGTGTATTGGGTGAAGCAAAGAATCCAATGTACAACCAGTACGTCAACACAAAAAGGAAAAAACTGATACAATTAGCAATTTTACCCCGTATTTTAACTTAATACAATTACAAGGCAGTGTTTTGATTACATTTTCAATTACAAGGCAGTATCAATTATGTTGTAGGACGAAAATGATATCATTCGAACACACGATGCAATCAAACGCCGCACGGAACACCCTAGTCAGGTGACCGTCCTATCGCTGATGTAGATGGGACCATCTAACACGACTGAAGCAAGCAAACACTACCAGCAGATAGTTGGAGCTAGCAGACACAGTCTATAATGCATACACATGCTTTGAATCACTAATTGGTCAAATCATGTTTTCTTGAAAACACTATGATAAACAGTGATTCAAAGCATTTATATGTATGATAGAATATGGCTGATAGTGTGCCTTCTAGCTTTAACTGAGTCCATACAAATCCACAAAAGAAGAGGAAGGTAACCAGGATAGAAGCACACTTACATTTTCTTTGATGATTTCCTTGACAGTGTGTCCACGTTCTTCGTTCTGTATGCAGTTAGCATTCCTCGAGCATCGGAACTTGTGGTTGCTGGTATACTCATGAAACTTTCATAAAGCGGTTACATAGAATCGTTAAACCGTGTAACACGGTACTTCGTGGAAACCAATACCTTACTGTCATTTAAATAATTAGTACCAAAAGTCGAGCTTATTGTGTCGAGTTGACACTGGAAAAAAGAAATTGATATTATTTACTTGATCCAGAAGGCTTTGCACTTGATTTACTAAAAATTGCTGTACATGTGTTAAACCATCGACGATTAGTCGCACTTATCAAACTGTTCGAGGCAAACCATTCGTGAATTGGTACATTTTAAAATTACCAATTTAAGCCAGTACATAATTATGCAACTGCTTTTAAATGGCCAAATCTTAAATGTAGTCTTGTGTTTTTACAGATAACAGACGACTACAATGGCTGGAATAGGTGATACCGACCTTGAACCTAATGGTGAAAATAAAGTCCCACTGAGGTGTTCACTATGTAAACATGTGTATGATGTCACTGACAGACTACCTAAGTATCTTCCCTGTCTCCATACATTCTGTGTAATTTGTCTAGCTGGTCATGTTGGTAGAATATTCCAATGTCCCGGATGTCAACAGAAAAGTACCATTCTCAAACGCATTGACGGAATTCCAACAAATTTCGCATTTCTAAATTATAATCAATTGTTTTGTCATCAGAATCAGATTAAGCACAGTAATCTACCAACGTGTCAAAGCTGTTGCCGTAAAAACCAAACACTCAAAGTTTCACATTGTTCGGATTGTGAGGCATACCTATGCCGAAGTTGTCATGACAACCACTTTCATATGGATTTTTTTGGTACACATGAAGTGAAAACCATTGACGAATTGAAACAACTATCAGACGAATCACTTATTACTTTCTTTCATCGAAAACAATTCTGTTCAAAGAGAGAAGGTCATACTGATCAGAGAATAACCCTGTTCTGTGATCATCGCAATTGTCAGTCACTGATCTGTTTGCAGTGCGCCCTCTTAGAACACAATACAATTAACCACCAGCCAATCAACATTGAGAATGCAGTATTGAAATACAAGAAAATAATCAACGGCAAACTTGACAAAGCAATTGATAAAAGAAGAGAGTTGTCATTCCGAATTAATCAAATTAATCAAGAATTGTCTAATCTTAAAGCTAACACTGCGACACAAATAAACAATGTTGAACATTTCTTTACTGAATTAATCAAACAAATCAACACTAGAAAAGAACAGTTGGTCCGTGAAATTCAAAAGCAACACGACATAATGGAAACATCACTTAATATTGAGAAAAAGAAACTAAAAACGAGAAAAAATATTGTTGATACTTATGCGAAATTCACAGAATTCACACTAAAATATGACAGTGACGTGGAACTATTGACATCTAAATACGATGTATGCAGTCAACTAGACAGAGTGTTATCACATGCATTACAAGATCACAAATCAGCGGCAAAACTGTTCCCGAGATTCTTTCATCCTCATGGTGTAAATCTAAATATGGTAAATAATACAGTGTTCAGTGGGCATCATGGGAAGATCAGTTGTGACGTTATTGAGACTGATGCTGTGGTTGGTAAAGACTGCAATTTCACTATTACTCCACGCAACATGGATGGCAAACAACTTGGTGTATCTGCAATTCCTGTAAAGGTCACAATAAATGACCCTGATAACCGAATTTTGGCTACCACTACAGACGACAAGGGTGATGACACTTACACAGTAAAGTACAGACCACAGAGAAAAGGAAAACACTACGTGACTATCACGATATACAGTACGCCGATAGAGGGCAGCCCATACACCATCAATGTAAAGCCAGCAAGAAGAATCAAATGTGAAGTATATGCACAAAGGTGTGTGGTGAATACGGTTTGTACAGCAATCATTCATTCTCTTGCTGATATTGATGACATGCAATGCTTACCTGTCCTAGTCCGTGACCCTGATAGTCAACCTGTAGAATCTGAAATTACCACTAAACATGAGTTGACTTTTCAACCTGCCAAGGTAGGACGTCATGAAATGATTGTGAATGGAAATGATACACCAGCAGATTGTAACCCATACATCATTGATGTGATAGATATGAATGAACAGTGGGAAGTAGGAAGAACGGGTGTGAACGATGCAGAATTCAACATCCCAATAGGTGTTACTGTTGATAAGAAGGGCAACGTTCTGGTAGCAGACGCTGCTAATAAAAGGATACAGATACTTGAGAGCAATGGAAAGTACATTGATCAGATCCGAGTGGATATACCTCACACATCTGGAGTTGCCATGGCACCGAATGACAATATTGTCGTGGTGGAATGGGAAACTAGACACGTTCATATCTACAATGAAAACAGAAAAAAGATAAAACATTTCACGTATAAAGAATTCGTCAAACCTTTTGGCATAACTGTCAACAGTAAAGGACATATATTGGTAGCTGACCCCGGGGCATCTTACATCTTTGTGTTTACGTCTGATGGTGATTTCATAATGAAGATTGGGGAAGACGTTGGAGAAGGTGAACTATATCAACCAGCATTTGTGGTTGCTACTAGGAATAATGACGTCATCGTGTCTGACAGTAAACACGGACTAAAATTTTTCACCGAGGGCGGCAAGTATATACATGGCATTCATCAAATAGGAGACGATGAAAAATTATATGACTGTAGTGGTGTTGCTGTTGACAGTGATTATAACATCATAGTAGCCGACCGGGCATCTACACCAAATAGAATACTGGTACTGACGTATGATGGTTCGGTAATTCAATCTCTTGAAAGTCAACATCATAAACTGAGTAGACCACATGGCGTGGCTGTGACTGAAGATGGGTATGTTATTGTAGCAGACTACGGCAATGACTGCATCAAGAAATACAAATTGTAAACTATATCATGTGACCTTTGGTCAAACTAAACTAAACAGGTGGCAGTAAATAAAGTGTATATTTGATAGTCAATGAGTATCTAATACACGACGATATAGCATAACTCCATAAAGCCATAAATTCCACCAGTGTATAACTAAATACATAAAATCGGGACTCACACGGACCTGGGAAAACAAAAAAAATATACCAATGTTGCAAGCCACTCAAATGATGCTATATTATTTGTTTGGCTGCCGATATAATTACTCATAGATTATTTCATTTGTGAACGTATATGGCGTATGTTAGGATGAGGATGATTGGTATCCAGTTGTCTTTCTACACACTCCCACTATGTGTTGACTGGCAACAACAAGGATTAATTCATTGCATGCTTTCCCGCACTTAATGTGAATTCCCTATGGAACGGTAGCGCAAATAATACATAGAAACGAATTTCTTTTTTTGGGAGTTTCTTTCGGCAAATATATATATGTATGTATGTATTGAGAATAACTACGATTAACTACCAACCACCACAACAAATCTCAAACATTAGAATACACTAGTACCTAAGTAAATTTTTTGGTAAACGTATAAACCTTGGTTTATTTAAGTATGGTCACGTTATCGAACCTGCCACCAAACTTATTTGATACTTAGAGAAGAGGGATAGTTTAATGCTGCCAAAATGATCAGTGTCGCATTGTTTATATTCGGAATAGTCAGTTTTACCTTTCCAATTTGTTATTATTGCCATGAGTTATTCTAGAAAAATATCTTAATTTTCAAAAATAGAACATGTTTAATGCATTCATATTGTTTATAATTT